TCCGAATGGGTTTTTTTTGCGTTTTAGGATATGCAGCCGCCACCAGTACTAGCTTGTCCGATAGACTTAAGCAAAGCCCACTTCATATGATCCTAATTATACCTGCCTTTTCATTTGCTCGTTTTTTCGATTTGCTTCTCCATTGCGGGGATAATGGTCCTAAACCCTCTTCCCTGTAGCCTAAACCCAAAAAGGGACCCAAGGGAAGCCAGGCTTTCAGAACCCCCCCACCGCCCCGCCGGCCCCTTCCCCTGCGATGCGCCGCTGCTCGGCGGCGCCGGGCGCGCCGATGAGAAGCCATGTGGCCTTGCTGGAGAAGCGTTGGGGTTTAGGGTTGAGGGACTTAGGGCTTGATTTCAGGGTTTAGGGCTTAGGGTTTGGGGTGCAGGGGTTCGGATTAAGGACTAATGGTTAAGGGTTTAGGATTAGGGGATGTGGATTGAGGGATTAGGGTTTATGGCTTAGGGATTAGGGTTTAGGTTTGAGGTGTGCGTCTTTGGGCTTAGGGTTTAGGGGTTTTGGGCTTAGGGTTTAGGGTTTTTGGGCTTAAGGTTTAGGGTTTAGGGACTTAGAAGGATACATATAACTACAAAAAAGGTATGGAAGATTTTGTTGGTGGTTCTACCAGGCAGGATGACATTCTTCCTATGAAATACTATAAACAAAAAAGAAGCTCATATTAATCTTTGGGGACCATAGGAAAACCCCGTAGAAAACCTACCCGCAAGGGCTTTATCGCTTTGCTTCTAAGAGGCTTTTCCCTGGTTTAGGAGTTTGTAGGTAGGCTTCAATGCTTAGGCCGGCTTAGGGTTTTGAGTTTCTTTAAGGCCTTCCCAAGAAAGTTTAGGGTTTAGGGTTTAGGGATGGTTTTAGCACCTTTGGGTTTGGGCCTTGAGGCTTTTGGCCGAGCACTCACTAAGGTTTCAGGGCTTGCGGTAGTAACTCACAGGAACCACATGAATAGCAGTTTTGACCGTGAGGCATCACAGCAAACATAAAATCTGCCCAGAGTCAGAGTGTGACTAGAGTGACTCAGGAATTTTCAGAGTCAGCATAAGAAAAGCGTGCATTCGTTGATAGTGGCACTCGAAGCTGTGCGAATGCCAGTTGTAGCACTGGGAAAGTCATCATGGTCGTGGGAAGACCAGCGCCCTAAACCTTAGACCCTCCACTAACCGTAAAAAAAACCCTCAAGCGCATGTCGGGGCATTTGTGCTGTGGAAAAAAGCCACGTGACAGCCGCCACAGCCCGGGCGTGCCAAGAGGGCGTACTGAGACTCAGTCTCCTTAACTTCCAGACGGTTTACAGGATGTTCCTTGATAAACCCTATCTAAAACCTAGATAAACCCTAGACATACCTTATATTATAAGCCCTATATAAACCCATAGGTTCTAGGTTGACTTCCTTTGGGGGTTGGGGTCTAGGATTTAGGGTTCAGGATGTAATGTCTGAGGCTTAAGGTTTAGGGTGTACTGAGGGCTTAGGATTTAGGTTTTCCAGGGTTTAGGGGTTTCTTTACGGGGCCCAATAGTGCAGATCAAACGCTAAAAGAACATGCAAACTGAAATAGAAGCTGGGTTTTATGAGGTACTGTCAATGTCTCCCACATATGTTACATAATTTGATGGGATCCTTTACTGGAGACTATATTTAGGGACTATACTAGACTACCGGAGGGACCACCATGTCGACTGTTACCGGGGTGGCTGGAAGGAGGTTCGGCTGGAGGACGCTTTAGCGCCGCAAACAGGAAAACATCCGGATTTAGGGTTTAGGGTTAAGGGTATTTAAACAAGTCTTTTGCACTACCTCAGGAACGTTACAGGTTGGTCTGCCCTCCACTTATTTTAAAACGTCGCCGAGATAATTGACAGTAGCCAACATAGTGGTTTATAGGATCTACGCCGTGTGAGCTTCTCGAAAATGAGGGTTTGATCACTCAAGGGATCCTATGCGGATTACTTTCTGAAATCCTTAAAGGTTTCATCACAAGTATACTCATGCGCACTCCCACTTATTCCACTGTTGGCACTGGCCACAAACCCTCAACCTGAAGCCCAACCACATGAATCTCAAATCTGAAAGCTTCACTCCGAAATCACGAACCTGAACCCAAGACTCTCAACCCGAAACCACGCAAACCCCAAGCTCAAAGCACGATATCCCTAAACCCTAAACTCTCGAACCCCCAAACCCTAATCCTTAAATGAAAGAGCAGTTTCAGTGATATTTTCCCCTTACTCAATCCCCTAAGCCCTAAACCAAGAGCGGCTTCCATTCTATTTTCACTTACCCGGTCCCTCAGCCCCAACAAGCAGAGGCTCAACCTGCTTCATCTCAGTGAAACTGCTGCCGTCGGCAGCATCACTAGCACTGCTAGCCTTTACGTCCTTCGCCATCTTGGTTACCACCTAGCAGGGGCTCAGGAGTACTTGGTGGAAAATGAAGCGAGAACTACTATTGAAGTTACTATTGAATTTCGTGCTGAGGGTTCAGGGTTTACATTGGGCTTGTATACAGATAACTTCACATAACCCAAACAATACATTAACAATCCCTGTTATCCCTTTGCTAACCTACTTTACAACGTTCGCCTGGTACTTACCTGTTAGGGCTTCTTGTTTATGGAGGGCGAGGGCTGAAAGTTTGATGGGGATTCGGGCGCAGCATGAGGATTGAGCAAGTTGAGGAGTCAGGTTTGAGTCTCCCAAAATTAGGGGTACCATTT